CTAGGATAAAACCATTTCTCAAAAATAGAAGTAGTTTTCTTGACACTATAATTTTCCCAGTAGCAACTTAAGAAGAACGGTTGATAACTGAGCACCTGACTGCTAGAATGACCTGAACGACAAAGCAATGTCAGATTGATGCTGTGGAATATTGGCTGAGAAAGTGAAGCATGGCTTGTGTACTTTAAGGGTGAACTTTAAATAACAGAAACTGTTGGCAAGCTGCTATCTAATGGCTGTTTCAGGGAAATGGATGTACCATCTGCAAAGCTAAACAGACACGACAAGCCTTTGAGGCAGAGAGTAAAATGTTCAATCCATTTGGCAGATAAACCAGGTCATGGATTGGTTTATTTAGCTCCAGTTTCGCATAAACAATATACAAGCAGAAGCGATGAACCATGGCTAAATTCAACAGGAAATTCCATTTGAGGTTATATCTCTGCTCAAGCTTCAAACGGCCTACGTTCTTCCGCTCCATGCCTTTGTTATGTTTGTCTCTGCCGTGACTGTCAGTGTATTGTGGTCATTTCGAGAGCAGAATTTATTGGAAGAACATATTCTCTAGTAAGAGAATAACCAAACCATCATCAACCTAAAACTTACCCAGACACATTTCCATAGTAGAAGTAGACGTGTAAAGAAAAAAACAAAACAAAACAAGAATGTTTTTCTCATTTCCAAAAATACAATAGGAGACATATTTCTAATCATGGTAGAAATGTACTTTCCCAGCATGTCATGGCCATGTGTACAGAGCAATCTCGAACAGCCCTCGGTGCCCTTGGCAGCTCATCACTGACAGACAGCAGCCACAAGTGTCTCTACCTTTGATCCTTGAGCCAAATTTTACATTGCGTTGGTTACTGTAATGAAACACTAGGTTCTGCTTGACTTCTTTCTACTTTATAGAATTCCATGCTTTGTAGAGATCAGAGACATATTTTCTTTTTCAAGTTTGATGAAAGAATATGAACTACGTTTCACTTTCATTCTCTGTGAAGGTCAAAGTTCACATACAACAGAACATCAAGATCCAAGCTCCTTTTGCAGTTTCCTATGAACCAAAGTAAGAAATTCAGTTTAATAACATGATTAAAATTATTCTGTCTTTACACTATCAGAATTTTTCAAACTCTTTGGACTACAAGAAAGTAATACCATTTTTACTTCCATTGCAGAAATCTTAAAAACAACAAAAAAATATATGTTGTTCAATTTCCTTTTTATTTTGACAAGATATTTTAAAAGACTTTACTTCTCTTTTTTTCTGTAATTACTTAATTATTTCTTGGGTATTGTTTTCAACGTGGAATAATATCAAGCCATAATAAGATGTATAATATCCTCAATTTATTGCTATGTGTTTTGCCAAGTTTGAGTATCAAAATAGTTACTGCAATAGAGAGGTTCAATTCACACACACACAAACACTGTTTTGTATTATGCAATGTTCTGAATCACATAACGTCTTGTATATTATATTTTGCATTATATATATATATATATATACATAAATACATATGCAATGCCTTGAGGATATTACACCTCCATTCAGTGTGAAATCAATAAAATGATTTGTTGAAAACAGCACTATGAGACCTATATAGGAGAAAAATGTAGATATCTAGCTAATCTTTAATTTTAATCTAGTGAAAAATGTTGATCCAAATACAATAAATATAATTGATTCTTCTCTGGCACAAGTCAAATTTATTATCAGTCTCCATCACTCTTTTATGGTGTGTCCTAAGCTGATTGTAGCAGACTGAGCTGCTTCTCACAGATTCTCCTTCAGGACTGAAGGCTTTATTCTCCAGTGAGAATTCTGCTGCAGGCTGTCCTCAGGAACTTTCTCCAGGGTTTGGCTTCTGTTAAAGAAGGCTTCATGCCCAAGTTAATGCACCCCCTCCCAGGGACAGCCCACATGTAGTAACTGCCCAATATGAGGCCATAAAACCCTACCACTTCTTCCAAATGGCAGAGAGCTCTGAAGAGTACTTCTAGCTTCAGAGCTCACTGGGTGATCTAGGGATTTGATGTGATGGCACCAAAGCTCGGATTCTCCTCCTGTTATACCCTGCTTTCTTCCTTCCCTCAAGAATTGTTGAGGCTGAGAACACTACCATATAAGTTTCCTGTACTCTATCCTATGCCTTCGAGAACCTGACCTGCAACACTTTGTACCAGGATGGGTTCAAGACAGTAGATGTTACAATGTGATGTTGGAGCTGGATTGCTCAGCATTACCTGGTTGGCAATGAGGACCTCATCACTGGAAGTATTTGGCCAGAAAAGTCTCTGGCAGACTGATGTACAACTGATCATCTTTCATTAGTGGTGAGCTGGGATTGTATGCCTGGAATGAAATACATTAGTGGATGTAATAAAAAATATGGTTGAAAAAGTAATCATTAGAGCATAATGAAATTGGATGGTTCTTGTTTAGGGTAACTATGATTTAAAAACAAGTGCAAAAGTCAGAGGGCCACTTTTCAGAATATGAAAAAGCTTCTCTGAAGGTGGAAGGTAAACAAAGCTAAAGACATAACATAGTGTTTAATCATAAGAGCTCGAAAGAAAGATATATTCTCAAATTAAGCAAGGGCACAATGTTGAATTCAGGACTATGATAGAATATATGGGACCCTGATTCAGGGGATGGTGACATCTCTATTGATGTCCTTGAACATTATGTATCTCCCAAACCCATCCTATTGAGGGATGGTGAGTGCCTTCTTCCCTAAAGAAGAATGCAGAAGACCTTGTCTTGCAATAAAACAAGGGTCCCCTCAATACTTAATACCCACACCACTTTGTGTGGTCATAACATACCAGGGCTAGAGAAGCTCTATACATTTCTAAGGGAAAATGGGACTATACGCAGAAGGAGTTATAGGACCTAAGCAATATGTGCCACCAGGAGATCAGTGAGGGTGAGTGTGTATAGGCCTAGATCTTAGGGGTGCTGAATCAAGAAGGAAAAATGAAACTGACAACAAATTGTTTATCAAATTAGGAACAGTCTCACAAGATAAGATCTAAAGTCCTGGCAAGAACCCTGAGAAATGGAATAAATATGCTACTATGATGGGTGAAAGAAGCTGAGAGAAAATGATGGCTTACAGTCAGTGAAGTATAGGTGTCTGAACTATCCCAGCAGACAATGGAAGAAAGGGTCAAAGATTTAGAGACTTGGACATGATGGAGTTTTTATTGTGTACACAATCAGGAAGCCCCCATGGTGAGTATAGTCCCGGGAATGGACTACAGAATATTTATAGACCAAAGCAATAATGATGCACCAATACTACGAAGAAAAATCGTTTGGTGATTGTTGTCTATACACAGGTCTGATGGTAGGAGATACTGTATAGAAATGAGCACCCTTGTAGGAAGGGGGGTAAAAAATGATCAGAGGTCTGAGAGCAGTGGAACTAGTAAAAATTATGACCCTTTGCCCCATTTCTGGACCTGCACCAATTTTAAAACCTAAAATCCATTTTTGTGAGGGAGTGTCATTGTCCCAAGGCAGAAGGCACTACAGTGTCACAGCAAGTGCATATATAATGCCCCGGTCTTTTCCCAAGGATACCTATAGTGACTTACTTGAGTACTAGTACAGAGAAGGAAAGATAATTTCCAGATATTTTAAGAACAATTAAACAAGGGGGTGCCTGGGTGGCTTAGTCGGTTAAGCGTCCGACTTTTGCTTAGGTCATGATCTCACGGTTCGTGGGTTGGAGCCCCGCGTCGGGCTCTGTGCTGACTGCCAGCTCAGAGCCCGGAGCCTGTTTCAGAGTCTGTCACTCCCTCTCTCTGACCCTCCCCTGCTCAAGCTGTCTCTCTCTCTCTCTCTCTCCTAGAAATAAATAAAACATTAAAAAAAAAAAAAAAGAACAATTAAACAAGGAAGTAAAGTTGGTATAGATTCTCTGGGATTCAAAGCCTCACCATGGATCCCCTATTAGAGTAGGGGCATAGTAGGACAAGTAATAAAATCCTGACTCTAATCCAGTCAACATGATCTACTGAGACCCTGCATGCACTCATGATAATATCTCCTATTGCCAGTGAAATCCTGGAATGGACTTACTGGAGAAAGGGCAGCGTTCCCGTGCTGGTTTGGGGCCTAAAGAGCACGAGCTTCTCATTAGAAAAAGGTAATATAAAGCCTCTGAAACTCTTCTCTACACTGAGAAAGATGGCAATTAAAAAATCAATAGCACCTTTTACTACAGTAGCAGTTATTAGTATCACCCCATATTACCTATCTATGTCTCCACTGAAGAATTTTGCACAAATGTTTGCATCTCCTAAAAATTCTGTTTTTTTTCTATTTCATCTCATAAAGTAGACTACTGTTTCAAACTTAGTTCAATCCTCACTTCCTCCAAAAACTCTCTTATATTGTTTCAATTAGACCAAGCCACTCTAGAATGCTATCATAGTATCACATACATTTTCTCTGTGCGTCTTGTCTTTCACGTACATGTTTATTTGATTAATGTGTATTCTTTATGTTAGAATTGTAATTTCATCTCAGAATCCAGGATACATTCAATAAATGGTATAATGAATGACTTGATTGTATCTAGTCTTCCTATTATTCTAACACAGGGAATTTATTGTACAATTTGATCTATCTTATAGAAAAAGATGATTAATGCACATCACAACGTATAGACTTCATAGTGTTTTCTTAGGACCAAAAAAATTTATCATAATATCCATCTTTGAAACAAGAAAGAGAAATGGACTTAAAACCATCTTGGGCTGTAGGAGCCCCTGGGTGGCTCAGCCAGTTAAGTGTCTGAGTGCTGATTTCAGCTCAGGTTATGATCTCACAGTTTGTGAGATCGAGCCCCTCATCCGGCTCTGTGCTGACAGCACAGACCCTGCTTGGATTTCTCTCTCTCCTCTCTATTCTCCTCCCCGACTCAGTCTCTCTCTCAAAAGAATAAACAAAAATTTATAAAAACAACAACACCACATCCAAGGCTGCACATTGTTAGAACTTGGAGATGAGGTTGCTAGCTGGCCAATGAACTCACAAGCATAAGTAGTGTGCTACATGAGGAACAAGACTTTCACTGACTCCACAGGGATCTGTGGGCCAAAGAGTGGAGTTTGATAGTAATTCTTGCTACAAGTAAAAAACAAACGAAACAAAACAAAACAAAACAAACAAACAAACCAAAAAACCAAAATCCTAGGAGCTAAGAGTAACTCTGAGAAAATGTAAATATAGATAAAAAATAAATATTATTATATAAAATATTATAATAAAAATAAACGTGTGATTGGATAATGGATAAATATAATGTCATATACTTAATACTCTAGTAGAAATTCATGTGTACTTCTGCATGTGTACAAAAAATATGTAACTTCGACTTTAGAAAGGTTTGCTAGTCTAGAGAAGATTTTGAGGAGGAAACATCATCCCAACTTATATATATATATACACATACATACAGAACACAGAACCAGGGAAATCATTTATTTAGCACAAGGCACAGTTTGAATTGTCTTATGCATTGTCTTATATACATACTCTTATTTATTATATACAACAACTCTATAAATTAAATTCCATAATCCTACTTTATAGAGACAGTGGAGGAGGAATTTGTATGTATTCCTGGGCAACAGGTATCATACCAACTTTATACATGTTGTTGTTTAATACGTAGAACAATGCAGAGATGTAGGTTTTCTTATTGCTGCTTTTATATGAAAAAGTCTACATTAAAGAGAATGATTAATTTGTTGAAGGTCTCAGTCCCAAAATAATAGTCAAGACAGAATTTGAACCCAAGCTTGTTTATTCCTACTGCACATTGTGGAAAAAGTCCCTTTAAGGTCAGAGAAAATGTGAATTTAAGGAGTTATAAACACACTTGGCAGAACATCAGACTTTTGTTGAACATATTATTCTACTGTACACAAGGCTCCCTGTGTAGAGAAGCTGTTTTCTAAAGAGGCCTATGAAACTCAACTCTATCTTGGTGTTTGGGGATAACATGCATTACAATAGAAAAGTGACAAAAAATTTATTTGAAGTCTTTCTATATTTCACATTTTACAAAAGTTTTCAATTATGTATAAGTTGAGGTAGGAAGAAAAATAGATGTAGAGAGAGAGAGAGATAGATTCAGATAAATAAATTATCCATGTTTTCAAAAAGCATATAATTATTTCAATGTCTTTGCTTTCAAATTACAATGCATAAGATATCTATTGAAGAATAACATGCATAATAATTTACCCAGTAAATTGTGTTATTTTTAAAGAAGATTTTTCATTTTAAACTTTCATTAATATTACATGAGTATATCTTATCATAGTAGCAGCACCCAACCAGTTAAAATGTAGGGTAAATGAAATAACATAATATTTAAGAACCCAGGATCTTAAAGCCTATAATGATTTATGTATGAGCCATCTGGTTTTACAAGCAAGATATTATGGTCAAATGTGCTCTATATGCATGGAAAGAAAGAATTATTCAGAAAGAAATAATTAGGTTTTATGAGTTAAATCCCAAGGCAAGCTGTAGGATTTAGGGAACTGATTTTCCTTACAAGTAAAAAAAATGTATATATATATTATAATGTATATAATAAAATGTTATGTAGTTATAATAGAACATTATCATGTATATGTACAGATGCACATACCTATTGCATCACTTCACCAGAGCAAGAGGAGCTTAGAACTACAGCATTTTATCTAGGGGATTATAAACGCAATTCGATGAATATGACTCATTCTGAGTTCTTAAGGGACATCAGGGGAACCCAAGGGATAATGGCCTCCCATTTCTGTTATTACCACCATTAATCAATTTTTACCTCCCCATCTGTCACATGTCTTCAGTGGACATGCACAAATGCATATCTAGGGTCATGAGTGGGATGGGATGGGAAATGGTATAAAAGCACTTCAGTTTCTTTTTCATGAATTCCTAATTTAAGGACTACTCTTATATGGGTAAAATTAATTAACTTCCAAAACAGGTAGAAGTGATATAAATTATAACAAGCCAAAAGGTTTTTTCATAATAAAAAATACAACTCTCTTGAGCATAGCCAAAAATCAAAATGAAAAGTATTCTTCAATCTGTAATCAATGTTGCAAGCCAAGGCAACTAAAATTAAAAGCAAAATTTGGAACAATTTCAGGACATCATGGACGCGAATCTGATAATAAGTTGGAAATACACCAGAGCATAACATACAGTACATATGTTGTACACTTCACAATCCCATTATGCCATGTGAATTTGCTATAATTTTCCTGGTGCTTCCCACCACTGTCAAGTTGTGTAACATGGCAGCCTTACCCGTCTATACATTTGGACATTTATTGTATCTATAACAATGAAAATAAAAACTTAACAAAGGTCCACATAGGTGTCAGATATTTGAACTCTACACGATTGTAAATACATTTATCTTTGTTTTTATATGAATAACCTATCTCTTTTTTGCTATGAAAATGAATAATTTTATCATCAGTTGGATAATGTAGACTTGGATAATCTGTACTACTAAATGAATACAAAGAGGGAAAAATTGTCTTATATACCCAAGAATTTTTTGCGGGGGTTGTGTGGAAAGAGACACTCAAATATTTGTATTTATTATTTTCTCCAAACATTCACATGATTCAAATAATTTGCATCCGTGTGCATAGATGAGGTTCATATCTGGCAATAAACCATAAAGGGTATCATGCAGACTTTTTCAAAAATATCCTATTTCTGTGTGTTTATTTCTTACAGAGGATAGCCAAAACCATGAGCATCCCTCATTCCACCGAGTCTCTCATTTCTGTTTGTCCTGGCATAAGGAAAGCATAATATCACTTCTTCACTCCAGGCCACATTTCTTCAAACTTTAACTACTTGTGCAAGATAGGCCTTTAATTCATATTCATATCTACTCAACAGTAGCGAGATCTTCCTTATCAAATAATGAGGTAGATTATGTATATACTTCCCAAGAATTTGACGTATATGGCTATAAGGCATCAAATAGAGTGGGAGTTATTGGGATCATAGATGTAAATTTAACAGATACTTCTCTCCTTTGCTTATTATAAATATTTTGATACTAAATGTCAATTGAACATAGAATATTATAATTCGCTACGTGGTCTTGATAATTATATTGTCTTATTTAGAAGACTTTGTATACTTTTTTTGTTTTTTTTTTCCTAATGTTTATTTATTGCTGTGAGAGAGAGAGAGAGAGAGAGAAAGCAGGGGAGGGGCAGAGAGAGAGGAGGACAGAGTATCTAAAGCAGGCTTTGCCCTAACAGCAGATAGCCCAATGCAGGGCTTGAACTCATGAATCTTGAGATCATGACCTGAGCTGAAATCTGATGCTTAAATGACTCAGCCACCCAGGTACCCCTAGAAGACTTTGTATAACATATACAAATAGTCTAAAGTTTTGAAATTTGAATACAATATTTAAACTTCTATAGAACATAGGTCAGAGACAGGGTGTAATGGATTTCAGAACAAAGTCAATATATCTAGCTATCTCAATTGAGGGGAAAATGGGCAATTCAACAATAATATCTGGGTACTTCAATATCTTGCTTTCAATAACAGATAGAGCATCTGGGCATATTAATAAGCAAATGGAAGACTTGGAAAACATTGTAATCTATTTAAACCCAACCTACATCTATAGAACTTTGCACCCAACAAGACTGGAATATGCATTCTTCCCAAGTGCAAATAAAACAGGCTCAGGACAGACCATACATTAAACCATAATATAAGGCTCAACAGATTTTAAACAATTGAAATTGTGTAAAGTATGTTCTATCACAATGGAATTAAATTAGAAATTGACAATTCACAAATTGTTGAATTCACAAATATGTTGAAATTAAACAACACACTCACTCCTAAATAATTAATGGGTCAAAAGAGAATTCACGAGGGAAACTAGAAAATACTTGAGATGAATAGAAATGAATGCAACATGCCAAAATTGAATTCTGATAAAGCAGTGCTTATAGGGAAATTTACATCTACAAATGCCTACATTAATAAAAAATAAAGATTTCTAACCAATAACCTAACTTTTCATCTGTTGGAACTAAAAAAAGAAGAGCCAACGAAGCTTAAAACAAGCAGAAGTAGAGAAATAATGATTGAAAAGGAAATAAATGAAACAGAAGTAAAAACAATAGGAAAAAATAAACAAACCCAAAAGCTGGCTCTTTGAAAAGCTCAGCAATTAACTCTGCATTTTAAACTTAATTTCTGATTTATGAATCCATTCCTTAAGAATTATATGTGTGAGCTAGCAGGTGGGAAAATATGTTCCTGGCCTTGGAGCCTTAACTGGTATTCTTGAAAGCACATGGCAGAGTGAATTTCTGGAAGTTCAAATACAGATAATTAGAAAACGTCTTGGGCTGGATATACTGATACCTTTAGGACCCAAGTTACAAGAAAAAATTCTCTCTAAACATTTAAAATAATTCCTAAGGAAAGGAATTAGTTATAAGGAAAGTGCTAGGTATTTCTTCCCATGGGTGGAAATGATAGTGTGAGGTGAGGTACACAAGCAGAATTAGCTGCCTTGCACAGCAGCTGACAGGTAAAACAGAGTTCTAGAAAACTTTTTATGATCCTTTAAAGTTAGTAAATCTGAACAAGAATAATGCAACAGTTCTTTTTCTGAAACACTGGTCATTATTCCATTCTACAGGCTTGTCGTATTATGAGTACCTCTTTTGTCACCATTTTCTATGAATTAGGCTTTTATCAATTGAATAATAAAAAAGATATATGTTTTCTGGTTCTCATTATTCCCTTTGTAGATTAGGGGTATTGGCCTGCTTACAATTAGCAAACATTTATCAATGTTACCTAAAATATGCTCATTGGATTAGATCAACTACTAGTAAGTAAACAATCTGAAGAGGCAATCTGATGTTTCTTTTCATTTTGCATCTTTAGCACCTCGGAGACTGCCTGGCATAGAGTAGGTATTCAGTGAATACGGGCTGGACGAATTGATTTGATCCACAATGTCAGCTCAGTATATTTGACACAGAAAGGATGGAGTATTTAAAGAAGTTATCAATTAAATAATTAAAAATATTCACCTAAAGAGCATAAA